CAGCGCTGACCCAGCACCCCCCAAGGCCACCCCTCCTCCAGGTACAGCATGTGATGTCAAGGTGATGGGGGCGGGGAAAACCAACCAACCAAAAAAACCAACCAACCAACCAACCTACACCACACAGATGCCGAGGTGCTTGTTTGGGCTCTGTCCTGAGCCAGCTGCCCCCCGAGGCTGCAGCCACCGGCGGCAGGCTGGTACCGCTGAGCACCCTGCCGCCCTGCCTGGCAGGGAATGGCCCAACCGGCCTCAGGCCAGCACCTGGCTCTGGCACACAGCCGGCCTGGGCTCCGGCATGCAACCCCCTCTCCCCAGCAGCAGGGGCCTGGAGCAGCTACGAGGGAGCCCTTCCCTGCACCGGGGCACAAGCCATGGCTGAGGGGTTCTAGAAACGCAGGCTTGGGGGAACCAGGAGAGCCTGAGCAACCCAGGCTGCCCTGGGTACCCCAGCACCTGCCCTCCCTGCCCAAAGCAAAGGTGTGCTGGGGCCCTGGGAATAAAAGAGCTGCATATTTGTCCCTGGGAGAGCAGAACCTGCAGAGCCCATCAGAGATGCTTTGTTTCTGCTGCAATGTACTTCGTTCTCAAAGCAGAGAGCCACCGCACCCCTCATCCATTGTATCGGCTGCCCGAGGGGAGCAGCACAGCCAAAGTACAAACAAAAAGAGTTCTGGGGCACCGAGAGGCCAGGAGCAAGTGCTGGAACGGTGACACAGCAAGGCCTTCGGGGCAGACGTGCTGAAGGGAAAGGTACACAGCCAAGCCTTGTTCTGTAGGTGCCCAGCCCTACTAGGGACTGCCAAGCCCCTGGCTCTTCTGGAGATCTTCCGCTTCAGATATCCCTCGGAGTCAGGCACAGACCTGCCCGGGCGCACCCACACGCTTCCCAAGCCCAAGTCATCTCGGTGACAATACCTACAGGACAGTTTTGGTGCCAACATGCGCTCCAGCCGCACTCAGGGGCAGCAGGACTAATCCTGGACACCAGCGCTGGGTTGTACCAAACCTGTACACTGACCTACGAGAGCCCTCCACCCCTGCAGCTCCTGACCTTGCTACTAGGGCAGAACAGCGCTTGTTTTGCCACTGCTGTCCGTGCTCAGCCCCCATAGAGGACCCCCCTACTATTCCAGACCAACAGCAGAGGCTGGGTGTGCTGTTCCTCTGCTGCAGCCAGCAGCGACCCGGCCTCGGCAGGGCCCTGCACAGCACCGAGCTGTTGGGAACGCGCAAGGATCGCTCCTTGTTGGGAAGGTGCAAGGATTGCTGCAGGGCCCTGAGCCAGCTTCCCCTCACCTCAAGAACATCACAAGGATGCTTCCTACCTTGCTGGCTTCCACAGTCTTGCCCGTCTGCTGGGAGATGACAGCGGCATACTCTGCCTCGGTGAGCTTGCCAGTGCTGAGCCCGATCACTTGGCCTATGTACTCCTCCGGGGACTTCAGCAGGGAAAGCACAACAGGCCCAACGTCCTCCACCGCCATCCCATCCATGGGGGTGTCCAACAGGGGCAGCGCTGTACAGGAGAGACTGATCCCAGTCAGAGCACAGCCCAGCACTGAGGGGGTACAGCTGGAGTTTTTGGCGCCCAGTCTCTGAACAGGAGGTGAGGAAAAGCTGAGAGCACTGCGTCAGCGTGGCAAGCCACGAGAGCACCTGCAGGGCTGAGCTGAGAGACCCTAAGCGGCCAGAACAGCACCATGACTCACCTGGATCTGCAACCCCACCTCTGACCTCCCACATCCCAACTACAGGGAGTTGGGGTGTTCACAGACACTCTGGGATTTGCAGAGCAGCCCTCAGCATCATAAAGAGGACCGGGATCTCACTTATTTCTTGCAGACCACCGAACAGGTCTGAAGGACCATAATGTAGCTGCAACTCGCTGTGGTCAAGCTGGCACAGGCCTCTTTCCCCATCAGTCTGCAGCCCTGGTGGTTCCTCCACCCTTTGGTGAGCCTCTGCACAGCGAGAGCAGATGAGAACTACAGGACAGTGACCTGGAGAGCAAGAGATCCCGTCTTACCCAGGACAAAGGTATCTCCCTGTGGGACCTTCTCTGGCTTGAAGATGGAGAGGAAGTTCTCAAAGTAGAACGGCAGTCGGATGGTCGTGGTGGGAACACCAACTTTCTGGAAGTACTCCTCCACCACACCCTTGCCGTCAAAGTGGAGCACCTCCAGCCGGCCCCCCGTCAGCTGCTTCACGTTCTCCAGGCCGCTGTACACGACGTGGCGCAGACCGAGGCGCTTTGACAGGTCAGCAAGTCGCTTTCCCTTGGTGAAAGGTGAAGCTGGCCGTGAACAGGGGAATGGGACACGCGGGGGCTCTCATCACCCCCCCACACACCCCCTTCCCCTTTGTTGCACTGGGCAGGACGGCAGGATCTAACACAGGCCAGCTGAGCAAGCTCCTCAGCATCTGGCACCCCGAGCCCTCAGCTGGAACCAGGGCTGAGCAGACCCAATGAGCCCTGTGAGTTGCAGGTGGAGCTGAGACCTCTGCTCACACCATCCTACATTAGAAAGACTACACGCCCTCCAGCTTTGGTGCTAGCTCCTCCACCAAGCCACAAACACCAGCCCTGAAGATCTGCTGGGGCCAACATACCTGCCCTAACATATCTTACCTTTTGTTTGCTACCATCCAGGTGTGGCAATCATGCCACCTTGCAAAATCTGTCCTGGGGTGAACACCGCCCTTGGGGAAGGCCCTGGGATTTCTGATACCGCAGCACATTTTGGGCCCAAGGCTGCAAGTGCAGAGAACTACAGGACTGCAGGTAGTGACAGTCCTGGCTCAAACCAGGGAAAGCTCTGTGGAACTGAGTCTGCCCACCCCTGCTACTCTGACTCCCAGGCAGTGCTCTCCACCACACCAAGTCTTGTGGCACTTAACGACTCTGTGAAGGCACCAGATCCTGCAGCCACATGACTGCAAGGGAACAGGGAACAAATTCTGGCTTTGCAAGAACTGGGACCTGATTTGTTTGTGAGGCCTCGGGACTTTTCTGGACTGGCCACTCGAACCGTCAGGGCTGGCAAGGCTGCACTACGAGCTGTCCCATGACCCCCACCCCAATGTCACTCAGCAGTCCCTCAATCCCACCCCCCCCAGGCCATTCTGCATGTGGTCGCAGTCAAAGTAAGCACCGGTACCTGCGCAATTTCTTTCTCTTTGCTGCAGTGCTCCCAGAAGTTGGTTACAACAAAGGCTCCATAAGCACCCGCCAAGGCCAGCTCCAGTGACGGCTCATCATCCTGATCCGCCTTCACGACCTCAGCTCCCCTCTGCTTTAGCTCCTTGGCCTGCTTCTTCACGGGGTTCCGCGTCACCGCACGGACCCTGAAGGTCCCATCTTCTAGCAGAGCCCGGGCTACGTGGCCCCCCTGAGCCCCTGTGGGTGCGGACCAGCTCAGAGCCCCGGCTTC